ACTAGCGTGGCACTTGTTACTACTAGCGTGGCACTTGTTACTACTAGAGTTACTAGAACAGTGGACCGACTCAAGAGGTCGTGTGTTTAGGCACAAAAAAAGCTTGTGGAACCACATGTCTGTTTGGGTTTCACTCGAAACAACGACCTTCCACAGAGAAGAGAAACGACTGCAAGGAGACAATCTGAAAATGATGCTGTTGAGAAAGAACTGCATGTGTGAGGGGAACATGCCAAAAACCGACGACAAACCATATTCTTATTACAGCAAATCGCAAAACACGACGATTTTGTTTGCATGAGATGCGTGGCAACCACGTCCAATGGGTATGTGAACAGCACATATTCAATATGTCTAGTTTACGCTGCCCTACCGGTATGATGTTGTCCTTCTTGCTTCATGTCTTTCTTGTCTTCATGCCCTTTGAACCTGCTAGCGATGGCCTCTAGCCTAAGAGCGTCCTTGCTCCTAGTAGCGATGCCCTTTGTTCCTAGTAGCGTCCTTGCTCCTAGTAGTAAGGCCAGGAGCCCCTAGTAGTGTCCTTGCTCCAAAGAGCCTTGAGCATGTTGTAAGTTTGCTCCTTGGAACATGTTGTTTGCCGTTTCGCCTCGAGAACCACATCATCCTCCGCGAATCCAACCATCAAAAGCCTCGGGATTGGCGAGCAGACAGTAGTGTACTGAAACTCTCCGATGGGAAACCGTGTCGAAAACTACTCCCAGACATGTAGCAGTGAAAAAAGTGATGCAAAAAAACACACAATGTGTTCTTTTTACTAGTAGTAACAAGTGCATCGCTTCTAGTAACAAGCGCCTTACTAGTAGTAACAAGAAGCTTACTAGGAACAAGTGCATCGCTTCTAATAACCACGTTTCTGTTGCTTTCCGCACCTCGGGAGCGTCTCCAAAAGCCCTGCTTCGCAAAGCTCTGTCCATGGGACCTCCAGAATTTTAAAGACGATGTTAGTACAACTTGTTTTTCTTTAGTAACAAGTGCCTTACTAGTAGTAACAAGAAGCTATTAGGAACAAGTGCATCGCTACTAGTAACAAGTGCCTTACTACTAGTAACAATGTTCGCTACTAGGAAAAACATGCTGACCTGTCTTTCTTCACGTGCCGACGCAAAAAGATCGTGCCGACGCAAACAGGGGATGGTGCGGCTGTGTTTGGACACTTAAGCCAGAATGGTGCAAACTAAACCTGAGCATGTTGGGTGTTGCATGACAATGAGTAGAGAGACACATTGCGTTTCGCTTTGCCTGGTTTGTGTACACACAACAGTTTCTCCAAACAAACTAGTAACTAGACTTACCGCAAGTGCCCTTTGAGAGAAACGGTGTCAGGACGCCAAAATCTTGGCAGGCTGGTTTGGACGGAGTGGATGCTGGTTGGGATGTAAAAAAGGGAGACACTCATGGAGAACGGAGAAAGCCCTTAGGAAAGCTTCATCTGGTGTGTTGGTGCGGATGACCCCCTACATGCAACACGCACAAGAAGAACCCCAATTAATGAGGCCATGCACGTGGGACGAGTTGCACCTGCACAACTGTTCCATGCCGCTGCCTGCTGTAGCTTCTTGGTACTAGCAGTAAGAATCTACTAATACCGATGCCCTTTGTTAGTAGTAGCGATGCCCTTGCTCCTAGTAGCTTCTTGTTACTACTAGTAAGGCACTTGTTACTAGTAGCGATGCACTTGCTCCTAGTAGCTTCTTCTTACTAGTAGTATGGCCAGGAGCTCCTAGTAGCGTCCTTGTTACTACCGGAAATCAACTCTTGACCCCGTCGTGTGAACTTGATGTTAGTGATAAACAGCACAGAAAGCATCTTTCACATCACGCAGGTAAACAAACAAATGAACAAATGAAACGTAGCTGGATGACGGGCAACTAGATAATGTCTTAGGTAGATAGATAAATAGAGGGATAGATTGTTAGAATTTCTCGTTCCCATGCCCATCTCTGCTTGAAAAAAGAATTCAAACCTGCTTGGCTGGGCCCAAAATACAAACGAACGCTCCATTGAAACACTAGCGACCTGTACAGCCCAGCTGGTGTCATGCTGAGCTTGCTAAGCTTACCATTTGTTCAGGGCCCGTTCCCGAGAACGTTCACCTTTCGTTTGGCTTTCTCTTGTCTTGAAATGTGTTTATGTTCATGTGACATGACTCATGTGTCTGTTCCTTTTGCAAAATGCTCTAGTTCACAGATCTTTCTTCTTTGGGGTGCTTTTTCATGTCACTATGAAGGCAGGAACACGCTGCAGGGCGCATGTTGGATTCTAACAAGCAGTCTAGCTCTAAAAGGCAGAAGTCAAAGAGAAGAAACAACATGTTTGAGCCTCTTTTGTAAGGTGTCGCTCCTTTCAAGGGACCTACTTAAAGGGACCCAAACACCTTCCTTTCTTTCTTCAAACAATTTCCAAAACATCTCTAAGTCTGAAAGTCTGACCACCTGTTGGTGGTGCATGAGCCACTGCATGAGCCACAGCTCTGTCGAACCTCTCGACTTCGGCCTCACCGGCCTCACTGCAATCCAAAGCTGCCAGAATGCCCAGCACTTCCACCAGGATATCATGCCTGAAGTTGTGATCGCTAGGGAGGCCATCGCTCAACGCTGTCTGCATACGGAACCGGAAAACTGAGGAAAAGAATTGAGAAAACCCAAACTGGAGAATCTGGGAACAGTCCCGGCCTGTCTGTTGCAGTGGCCTTCACCAGCTGCACCAACTGCGGCAGGACATGAATGGAATAGACGAAAGCCGGGCATGTTTACATCCAAAAGAACATGAAACATACTGACAGGAATCGGAAAAAAGAAAACAGACAGCTTCTCCTGAATAAGCCAAGCATAACCTGAGCGGAAAGCGAGGCAACAAACACTGTTGCACTAGGAACTCAGATTGGGAAAGTTGAAAGATTAAAGTTTGCTTGACGTTTGATTAGCTCTTGGGACAAAGCTGGAACTATCGCTATCACCTGCCGAAAAGGAAGCAACACATGAAAAGAAATTGGAACACTACTCCGAATGCTTCGGCAAAAGAATAAATAGTTGCGTTTAACGTTTGCAGAAAGAATGCGTTTAAAGGGGGGTAGGTCATAGGGTGGGCTGAGAAGTAAGCTAACAAGTAAGGGTTAGCTGCTAAGCTCAAGTGCTTCTTCAAGGAAGCTGCCCCTGGAGCTTCCTTGAAGAAGCTGGAGCCTTAATAGTACTGATAGCTTCTAGTAAGGTGCTGTTGTTACTAGCAGCAAGAAGCTACTAGTAGCGATGGCCTCCAACCTAGTAGCTTCTTGCTACCGATTTGATTCCTAGATGTTTGGGGAACGTGATTCCACTCTGAAAGCTCCACCACTGTGCACAATAGAGTAGAAACAAGTGCTTGCCATGTCCATCTTGTTTGCTTTCGAACACAGTTTCATCCCAAGGGAGCCATCACCTGCCTCCCATTACGTCCAGCAATATTGGTCTGCTGGCTCTGTGTGATGCGATGTGTCGAAGTACCTCAGATGATGAGACAAACAAAAACTAGTAGTAACAAGTGCCACGCTAGTAGTAACAGGTGCCTTACTAGTAGTAACAAAAAGCTATTAATTTAGATTAAACTTAATTCTAATAGCTTTTTGTTACTACTAGTAAGGCACCTGTTACTACTAGTGTGGCACTTGTTACTACTAGTAAACAAAACACAATTACATAGTGATGATGTCCATCCCCTACGTGAAGCCGAGTTGATGTACAGAAGGAAGCGAATAGATGATTCTTAGACGAATAGTTCAGATTTAAAAAATTCTTGCTACTAGTCGTAATGCCAGGAGCTACGTTCGTAGCGTCCTTGTTCCTAGTAAGGCCCTTAGAATGAACCGTGCTCCTACCCCCCCCCACGCGCGCGCGCGAAAAGCTCCTAGTAACTTATTGTTTTTATTCTAATTAAATTCAATTCAAATGTTGATTAAATTAGCAAACATTGTTACTACTAGTAAGGCACCTGTTACTACTAGCGTGGCACTTGTTACTACATGTATTTCTTGTTTCTAGTAGCTTCCCTTTGCTCCTAGTAGCGATGCCCTTGTCTCAGCGTGTCTCGGTGTCTCCCGCCTTGAGCATGCGCGCATTTTTGTGTTTCATGGCTCGGAGTGCCATGGCCATGAAGGAATCTTCGGCCAAAAGAAGACAAGCAGCGGCCTCCAACGAGCAAGAATCGACGAGCAAGAATGGCCTCCAACCTAATAAAACATTAAAAAGCATTTGAGGTAAACATTTAAAGGAATATTCGCTTCTAGTAACAAGAACCTTACTAGTAGTAACAAGAAGCTACTAGGGGCTCCTGGCATGGCTACGAACGGAGCAAGGACGCTACGAACGGGGCTCCTCCTACTCATCTACTCGCCGATGTGTCCCAAGGGCCGCTCCTCATCAGCAGCTAGGTTAACTAGCAAGGCAACAGCTTCAGGCTCCTGAGCAGTTCTGAATCCGTAAAGAAACGAACTTACGGCCTGAAGAGTGCAAGAACTATGACCAAACATGAAATCTCTCTGCATAAAAAATGTCTCAGAATCTGAACCGTTGCTGTATGAATTTCTGAGACAAAGCACTTGTTCCTAGTAGCGATGCACTTGTTACTACTAGTAAGGCACCTG